ACATACATACATACATACATACATACATACAAGAAGAGATACAGTTCAAGGAATTGAGGAATTGGCTCATGTGATTGTGGGAGGCTAGCAACTCTGAAATCTGTTGGGGAGACAGGAAGACTGGAAACTCTTGGGCACAAGTTGATGTTGCAGTCTTGAGGCAGAATTTCTTCTAACTCAGGATATCTTAGTTCAGGCTGACAATATCAAGGATTTGGTGTCTAGTGAAAGCCTGCCTCCTGGTTTACAACCAGCCAGCCTGTCTTCTTTCTGTGTCTTTACATAGCAGAAGGGGCAAGGGACGTCTCTGGTATCTCTCTCTCAGTCTCTTTTTTTTTCCAAATGTTTATTTATCTTTGAGAGAGAGAGAGATAGAGCCCTGAGTGGGGCTCTGTGCTGGCAGCTCGGAGCCCGCTTGAAATTTTCTCTCCTTCTCTCTCTCTGCCCCTCCCCTCTTTCTCCCAAAACAAATAAATAAACATTAAAAAAAATAAAGACTACTGATCATAGATATTAAGCACAAAATACCTTCACAGGAATACCTAGATTACTGTTACACTGAATAGCTAGAAACTATAACCTATCCATGTTGACCCATAACACTGTCACACTACCCTCACCTTCTTTCAGTTCACGCCCATGATGTTCCATTACTCACCAGACATATTCCTATCTCAAGACCTTTGTATGTCACTGTTCCCTTTCCAGAATGTTCTTCCCACAGATACCCACATGGCTAGCTCCATCTTCCTTTTAAGTCTTTTTTCCCTTAGGTCTTTTCAGAACTTAGCACTCCTTACCTAAAACCCTGCCTACACAACCATGCCCTACCAGATTCCATTTCTGCCTCTGTTCTCGATTTTTCTCCCTGGCACTTACCATTGTGGAGCATACTATATATCTTCCTTATTTATCATCTTTATTGTCTACATTGCCCCTAGAGCATAAATTTCCCAAGGGAAGTGATTTGTTTTGATGTATTTTGTTCAATGCTGTATCCCCAATGCCTGGAACAGTCCCTAAGACTATATCAAGAGTTTGATGTATATTTATTAAATTAATGCCCATTTATTCTATTATTCCCTCTCCCAAATATCTCTTTGCCACCACTTTCATTCAGGCCACCACCATCTCTGGCCTGGGTGACCTAACAGCTGTCCACTGGTTTCCCTCCATCTATTCTTGCCGTTCTTCCAATGCATCCTCCATCCTGTGGCATTTCTAAATCTGATGATGGCAGTCCTCTGCTCAAAACATTTCACTAGCCTTCCTTGATGCTGAGGCTCTCAATGATTGAGCCTCTGTGCACCTATACATTACCTTCTCTCTGCCCTACACTCTCTTATCCAAGACAGACCTAGTCCTTCAGTGTGCCATGATCTTTCACATCCCAGTGCCTCTACACATGGTTTCCTATATCTGGAGCATTCTTATCCTGTTCACCATGTGGTCAACCCCTGCTCGCCCTTTAGGTCCCATTTATGGCTCACCTCCCACCCACCTTCCATCTTCAGGACTGGTGATACTCACATAGCTCTTTATATTCAGGACCACCATGGCACTATGCACCAGGTGAAGAATAAAGAGACAAGAGATTTCTATCCTCCCAAGGAAATGGGTAGCCAGAGAACAGAGGTAATTACTATATAATAATTTGACAGTAAGATATGAAAGACAGGATGGTAAAAGGGGATTGGGTAGGGAAAGATTTCACAGAATATTTTTATAATTGGAGAGATCAGAAGGTAGTTGAAAGCAAAAGAGACAGGTCCTGTAGGCAGGAAGAAGTTGGAATTCATAGGGAAAAAAGAATAATTGGAGGAACAAGGAAAGAAATCTTGAGAAGTACACAATAGCGATCAAGACCCTTTCTTTGCTACTATAAGAAAAAAAGTAGGATTGATATGCAGAGATGAAGCAACGTGTTTCATAAACAGAAAATATGCAGAGGCCTCTACAAGATGTGAACTTGGGATTTGTTCAGGTAGGAACTAGGTTTTGGAGTTTCAAGAAGTTTATAAGACATTTAAGACTACCTAATACTGCTTTATCAGTTTGGTAGGGCACAGAACCTTTGACAATTAAACCTCCAGAAAGGAAGGGGAAATTATTTATTTGAAGAGATTATAATCCTCAACTTCTACTTGGCAGACTACTATAGTTAGACTAAAATAGTGGGTTATAGCAATGTACATAAATCCTGTAAATGTCTCATGTTATGGTCTCCAAAGAAATAGTGGCATTTCCCAATAACCACCATTCTACTTTCTATCTCAATGTATCAGACTAATATAGGTTATATAAGTGGAGTCAAACAATATTTGTCCTTTTGTGTCTTTTATTTTACTTAGCATAATGTTTTTAAGGTTCATTCATGTTGTAGCATATATCAGAATTGCATTCATTTTAAAAGAGGAATGATATTGCATTGTATGTATGTATAACATTTTGTTTATCCATTCATCTGTTGATAGACACTTGGACTGTTTCTACTTTGGGGTATTGGAAGTCACACCACTTTTTTTTTTTTTTTTTAATTTTTTTTTTCAATGTTTATTTATTTTTGGGACAGAGAGAGACAGAGCATGAACGGGGGAGGGGCAGAGAGAGAGGGAGACACAGAATCGGAAACAGGCTCCAGGCTCTGAGCCATCAGCCCAGAGCCCGACGCGGGGCTCGAACTCACGGACCGCGAGATCGTGACCTGGCTGAAGTCGGACGCTTAACCAACTGCGCCACCCAGGCGCCCCCACACCACTTTTAAGTGGAGACTTTTGGAGCATAAATCAGGAGATTTAATGCTCATTCCCATAGTATCACAAAGGGATTTGATTGCTTTGTATAACCTCCAATCTCCCCCAAACTTAAGAGGGTTTCAGGGAAATGTGCATCTCATGTAAAAAAAAAATTAGTTAACTGAAATATTGATGCTGAGCTTTCATGAATAAATGAATCAAACTAAGCTTGGTTGGCCTATAACTTTATTTAAGTCTCCTTAGGACAATACCTCTACTTTCTCTTTTTCCTTCAATTAAACACACACACACACACACACACATACACACACACACAAACACACACACGTTTACAGAAAGATACCAAGAGACTACCAAGAGACAATTAGCTGATGCACCATCTCTAGAATTATTTGTAGAATAATTGCACTTAATTGTGCAACACAGCACAAAACTGCTTCTCCGTGAGCAAGTCCAGAGAGCACTTTCTCCAGGATTCCTTTGTCCCTGTGCCAAGCTTTTAGTAGCAATTGCATCATTTCCAAACTCGAGGTGTAGCCAGCCTATCAGAACACGTAGAGGAAATCTGGCTTACTTCTGCCAGTCCTATCAACACCTGGAGCACAGCTCTCCCCTGGACCTTTGTGCAGAAGGTGGCTCTTAGCTGCGGGTAGACAAGGATTGAACCAGAGAAGGAGTACAGAGCAGAGCCATGAATATTATCTTGGATCTCCTCCTTCTTCTGCTCACCATCATCTACTCCTATTTGGAGGCATTGGTGAAAATTTTCATTCCCCAAAGGAGAAAATCTGTGGCTGGGGAGACTATCCTCATTACAGGAGCCGGACATGGAATAGGCAGGTCGACTGCCTATGAATTTGCAAAACGGAAGAGCAGGCTGGTTCTGTGGGATATTAATAAGGTAATGGATTCATTTGCCCCATCTTTTAAAGTCATAAGTAAGGCATATGTTTCGAAAATTATTTGACTTAGCATCTGCGTACCTTTGTATTTTTCTTTTTTAATGTTTAATAGCTAACTTCCCTGGTGCCTTATTCTACATGCATTGGGGTGGTTTGACGAAGGGAACATAACTGAGAACTAAGCAGTGATTTTTTTATGCCATGATATTTAAGTTGATAACACAGATTCAGGAGCCAGGCTACTTCCAAGCTTCCAGTTTCCTTATTTTTGAAATGAAGATAATACCTCACAGGATGGGTAATAACAGGTGTTAGCAAACTCTGGCTAATGGAACAAACCTGGTCCTTGGGCAGGCTGTTGAGCTGGCAATGTTTTTTACCTTTTTTAAGGGTTGTCAAAGCAACAAGCAAATAAAGAAACAAAGAAGAACATCCGACAGAACCTCTTATTGCCTCCACTCCTACCCACACAATCCTAAAATATTTACTCTCTCGCAGTTTACAGGAAAAGTTTGTGGACTCCTTGGCAAGAGGATTAAACAAGTGAATTTTATGCACTAAGAACAATATCTGTCCATACTAAACATAAGCCATTTTAAAAACAACAACAACAACATGCAGTGGGTCAGGCTTTCTCTTGAGCATTCATATTTTTCTTTGTAAACATTATATTAGCTACTCAAAAATAAAACTGAAATTTTGTATCATTTCCCCTACACTTGTGAATTCTGGAAGTCCATAAAAATAATACACAGAAAAATGTGACAGGATTTTTAGGTTGGAAAAACTGTGAAGTTTTTTTAAGAATCAGATTTTCAGGGCACCTGGGTGGCTCAGTCAATGATGCGTCCAACTTTGGCTCAGGTCATGATCTCATGGTTCATGGGTTTGAGCTCCACATCGGGCTCTCTGCTGTCAGCACAGAGCCCGCTTGAGACCCTCTGTCACTCTCTCTCTGCCCTCTCCCCATCCATGCTCACTCTCTCAAAAATAAACATGAAAAAAAAAATCAGATTTTCCACAGATCACAGTGAGATTTTAATTGCCACTATATTACTACTCTCTGATGTTCTTTGCTGTCATGTCCAGTTGTCCTATTTCTTAAAGCCTTCAAAAATGTCATTTTGGGGCACCCGGCTGGTGCCCTGATCAGTCGGTAACGTGTACCTCTTGATTTCAGGGTTGTAAGTCCAAGTCCCACGTTGGGTGTAGAGATTACTTAAAAATAAAATCTTTAGGGGCACCTGGGTGACTCAGTCAGATAAGCATCCAATTTTGGCTCAGGTTGTGATCTCACAGCTCATAGGTTCAAGTTCCATGTCAGGCTCTGACAGCTCAGAGCCTGGAGCCTGCTTCGGATTCTGTCTCCCTTGCTCTCTGCCCCTCCCCTGTTCGTGATCTGTCCCTGTCTCTCAAAAATAAATAAATGTAATAAAAAAATTTTTAAATAAACAATCAATTTAAAAAATTAAACAACAAAAAAAAGAACAAAAGACCTGGCAGGTGGCATTTCTCTTCCCTAGTTCCTCCTCCCCCCACCCAGCCAAGATTGCCCAACACTGGTGGGAAACAGCTCCAACACTCTCCATATAACTTTCAAACACTGCTTGCCCTGACTTGAGTCTGAGATGCCTGTGGGACATTCTGGTGAAGATATCTAATATGTGGCTGTATATTTAAATTAAAGAGCTTTGTGTTAAAGATATATAAACTCGAGGGGTGCCTGGGTGGCTCAGTTGGTTGGGTGTTAGACTTTGGCTCGGGTCATGATCTTGTGGTTTGTGGGTTCAAGACCTGCATCAGTCTCTGTGCTGACAGCTCAGAGCCTGGAGCCTGCTTCAGATTCCATCTTCCTCTCTCTGCCCCTCCCCCACTCACACTCTGTCTCTGTCTCTCAAAAATAAATAAATGTTAAAATTTTTTTAAATAAAAAATAAAATAAAATAAAATCTTTAAAAAAAAAGTCACTTGATCTTAGAAAAGTAGTTCTTCTCTGGTTCTTTCCAGACAGTAAAGAATACTGTACAAGGAAAAGTTGATACATTTTGTATAACATACACAGGCATTTAATAGATGAGTTGATATACAGGGAAGTGATTTGGCATCAGTTGGTCCTTGAAGAGATTCCAATGAGCTTTCTAGAAGGGGACAAGATTTACAAATTGAGAAAACTGCTGTCTGCTGTTCTTAGGCATTCATGAAAGAAAGAAAGAAAAAAAGAAAGAAAGAGGAAAGAGAAAAAAGAAAAGAAAGAAAGAAGTATAAATCCAGGAAAAAGTCTTGATAAAATATAACTTTTTAATCTCTTTCTAGCTATGTGTTTGGGAGAGATGACTGATATTTATTACATTTTTTATTTTTTTATTTAAAAAATTTTTTAATATTTATTTTTGAGAAAGAGAGAGAGAGAGAGAGAGAGAGAGAGCAGGGGAGGAACAGAGAGAGAAGGAGACATAGAATCCAAAGCAGGTTCCAGGCTCTGAGATGTCAGCATAGACACTTAACTGAGACATGCAGGTGCCCCTATTGATTACATTTTTTTAAATTCCAGTGACAAGGAATAAAAATGACTTATTTAAGATTCTGCCTGAAGGATGAGTCACCTAACCTCATAGGGTATCTTTGAATCCCTGAATTTTATGATTAAACAATGAAGGTATTAAGGGCACCTGCATGGCTCAGTTGGTTAAGCAACCAACTCTTGCTTTCAGCTTGAATAATGATGTCCTGGTTTGTGGGATTGAGCCCCAAGTCTCTGCACTGACGGAGCCTGCCTGAGATTCTCTCTTCCCCTCCCCCACTTGCATGTGTGAGTGTGCTCTCGCTCTCTCTCTCTCAAAATAAAAAAAAAAACAAAACTTAAAAACCAAACATTCAAGGTGTTAAATGATTCACTGTAAGGCTATAAATGTAACTCAGATCTCCTTTAACCTGTGGAAGGTGCCAGCTCTCTTGGTTATGGCTGACTTCTTTTGCCTTACTTAGAGTCATGTTAGCAGTGTGCCCTCATTCAATCTGAACTGTTGCTTTAGGAACACTCTGAAAAGTGGAGTCACTGCAAACTGGGGTTGAGGTTAAAGCAAGTATTTTTGCTTAAAAAAAGACAAGACATTACATTTTGTAGTTCTCTAGCTCGGGTAGAAGACTGACACATAATTAATTCTTTAATCAAAGCATCTGATGAAAGCTCTGGTCATGAATTCTCTCTACTGACCATGAGTCTAGAGACAAAAAAATGCATGGTGGTTCTTGTAATCTGACAATGAGCAAGCTATGTCTAAATTGGTGAGAGAAAGGGGCGCCTGGGTGGCTCAGTCGGTTAAGCAACTGACTTCGGCTCAGGTCTTGATCTCACAGTTCATGGGTTTGAGCCCCGCATCGGGCTCTGTGCTGACAGCTCAGAGCCTGCTTCGGATTCTGTCTCCCTCTCTCTGCCCCTCCTCCACTTGTGTTCTGTCTCTCTCTCTCTCTCTCTCTCAAAAATAAATAAAACGTAAAAAAAAAAAATTAAAAATAAATAAATTGGTGAAAGAGCTCCTCTCCTCCCTCTTTACTCCTCTGCAAGCCCCAAAAGGCTATGAGGGGATATTGGCTCTGTGACTTTGTGTCCTATGAGGGTCTGTTCTTTGGGATTTCAGGCTGCTACTCTGGGGCTGAGCCTGAGGTAGTGGAATATGAAGGACCCAAGGGAGGCAGCACTGGCTAAGGGAACCACTTGCCACTCACTCAGGGACCGCCTCAAGTAACAGCCACACTGTGAACATCCCGGTGTGAGAAAAGGGCTTTCAGGCGGCCTTGCCTCTTCATCACAGGGAAGAATCTACAAATTGTGAGAGGAAAATATAATTAAAAAAAATTTTTTAATGTTTACTTTTCAGAGAGAGAGACAGAGCATGAGCATGAGCAGGGGAGAAGGGAGACACAGAATCCAAAGCAGGCTCCCCACTGTCACTACAGAGCCGGACGTGGGGCTCAAACCCACGAGCTATGAGATCATGGCCTGAGCTAAAGTCAGATGCTTAACCGACTGAGCCACTGAGGCACCCCAAAAAGTGTAATTTTTAAAACCTTATAATCTCTATAAAATCAACAGATGTCAAAACTTGAAAAGAATTCTAGTTTTCCGGAAATACAGATCAAGAAACATCAGGACAGTTTTATTTTAGGAAAAAGGTCTTTGAATTTAGGCTGAAAAAAAGTTTCTCTATATCCATGTCTTGGGTTTCTGCATACAAAGTTACTATAAACGTATTACGTGTATGAAGTTGTTACATAGATGAGACTCTAGCCATGGCCTTTGCCCATTTTCACTCCAAAACACTTGAACATAATATTATATCACCAAGAGTGGTAGCATTGCCTCCCTAGGAAAGGCTTCCTCGAATAAGGATCCTTCTTTCTCCTTCCCTCCTAGTGGCTTAAATCAGAATCATCAAGAAAAGTATGACAGGCAGAGGCATATGGTTAAAATTACCACTAGTTTAGAATTGCTACCTGGTGCTTTACTGCTACTATATGGTTGGTGCTCAGCAACAATTTGACAATCTGTCAAATGAAAAGCTGAATTTTCTTTTCTTCTGTGTATCCCAACACCTCCATTCATGACCCCACAAAGAGCAACATCTTTCAAGCATGTTCTTCTGTCTATGAGAGTAGTCTGCTTTTAAAAAACTGCCTCTTGAGGAACCTCTAACCCAAGATAAAAAGCTGGAAAAACATGAAGGGTGTTTGGTTTGGTTTGTTTTGTTTAGATGCAGAATGGCTGTTGAGAATGTAGTCAAACAAGATAAAAACCCATATCTGGTATGAGCACTCACTGGCAGAAACACCACATACACTCCCTTTGCAAGTTAGGCAGGCAGTGTCTCTCACGAAGCTTTTGTACAAACAAGGAGGGCAAAGGGGCGCCTGGGTGGCTCAGTCAGTTAGGCGTCCGACTTCAGCTCAGGTCACGATCTCACAGTCCGTGAGTTCGAGCCCCGCGTCGGGCTCTGGGCTGATGGCTCAGAGCCTGGAGCCTGCTTCCAGTTCTGTGTCTCCCTCTCTCTCTGCCCCGCCCCCGTTCATGCTCTGTCTCTCTCTGTCTCAAAAATAAATAAACGTTAAAAAAAAAAAATTAAAAAAAAAAAACAACAAGGAGGGCATTTTGGACATGAATTTTAATCTTTTATTTGTTTGTTTGTTTGTTTGTTTGTTTGTTTATTTTTAAAGTAGGCTTCATGTCCAGTGCAGAGCCCAGTGTGGAGCCCAACATGGGGCTTGAACTTGCAAGCCTGAGATCAAGACCTAAAAGGACAGCAAGAGTCAGACACTTACCCTGAGCCACCTAGACATCCCATGAGTTTTAATCTTTAAAGAAATATCTTCTCCAAGTCTTTCTCCCTTTGTCTTGTCCCCTAACTGACCTACATCTTTCTACATTTGTTTTTTCCAATTACAGCACAGTGTTGAGGAAACAGCAGCTGAATGCAGAAAACTGGGGGCCACTGTGCATGTATCTGTCGTAGACTGCAGTAACCGAGAAGACATTTATAACTCTGTAAAGCAGGTGAGATTTCAAACTACAAATTCCTTCAAATAATTTTGTATCTATTTCCATGGGCAGTGGAAAGATTCTTTATGGCTGCCTGATTTAAATTCTATTTTAGCCTCTGCTAACTAAGGTGGTTGTATGAATAAGGAAGGATATACATTTCTTTCCTTGTATAGAACCCACTCAACCCTGCCTATTATTATTATTTCATATTACTAACCAATTTCTTTCTGATCAGAAGTTTGAGCAGTGGTATAGAGTGACAGAGAAGAGATTCATCACCAGGAGAAAGAATCACTTTCTGAGTTTTATCTTAATCCTATTACTTTTGCAGTAATTCCTTTTTTTTTCTTTATTTTCTCTATGGTATTTTATTTATGTTGCCAGTAATCTAGTCTTCTATAGAAAATGTAATGTTAGTAATTATTGTAACAATTTTTAAAAGAGTAAATATCAAATGAACCAAACACTCTGATAAACTACTGCATCCTTTAATTTCATCTCTACAATAACTCTATTAACCTCATTTGACAGATGAGCAAACTGAGATTTTGCTCTGCTAAGGAGGAGTTAAGCCAGTCCACGATCATATAATTAGTAGGTGGTAGAAACAAGACTACTCAGTTAGCACTATAAAAATGTTTGATCAGAACCAATATATCAATTAATCAACACGAATATTAATTCACTTTATAGATAAAGTTTAAAAATCTATGATTTACATAATATGAAAATTCAGATGTTAAAAAACATAGTTTCTCCTAACTTTATGACAGTGTTCTCTTTGCATCCATTTTTTGGACTAAAGCTCTTTCCAGCCTGAACTCTGAGATTTCTTATCAAGTGGAATAAAGAATCTAATTCGTGGATGACATCAGCCCCAAAACTTTGAGTTTCTATAACATACCCAGTAATTTTTTTCCCTTCACAGGTAAAGAAAGAAGTAGGAGATGTAACCATCTTGGTGAATAATGCTGGGGTAGTATATCCAGCTGACCTTCTTAGTACCAAGGATGAAGAGATTACCAAAACTTTTGAGGTCAACATCCTAGGACATTTCTGGGTGAGTGTGAGAAACGTTTCTGGTTTGTGCATGTCTGACTCATCCTCTTAAGGTACATGAAGTTTGTAATTGAGTTCACACCTTTATATTTGCCTAAAATCAAGAATTACCAAATTAATTTGAGTGGAAGAGTCTCTGAGAGAAGGACACAGAGTTTGAAGAGACACAACTCACCAGAATGTAGGCTAGTTGGTCTGTCGTATCCACCAGAATTTAACACAAAACATGGCATGGATGGACCAAGTGCTCAAAAAATACTTGTGGAGTTTTGCTAAGGGTTGTCAGTATACATTTTTTCAGTACTTTAGAGGAAATATATACAATATACATTCACTTGTGACCTCATGTCATGGAATTTTAGAACTGAAAGGACAACATAAATCACTACTTCTATGTATGTAGGGGTTGGACATTTTCTGCATGGGACTCAGCTAAGCTCTAGATCCATGTTGGAACTTAGATAGATGGCTCTACAAACCTCTTGTAGTTGGTTAGTAGAAGACTGAAATATACCTTTGTAGAAAACATTTCTATGGATTAATCTTACAGTGCCCCAATATCAGTGTAGAGCAAATCTGGATTCTGGAAGAGAGAAGAAAATAGATATGTTCTTTCCATCTTCCCCAACCCCTCACACATGGTAATGAGGATTGATTATTATGACCACAAAAGTACATAGAGACCTCCTGTGTTAGTTGTCTATAGCTGCATAACAAATTTATTAAAATTTAGTGGCCTGAGTTGAGACAGTGGAGTAGTAGGGGGACACTATGCTTGCCTCATCCCTCGAACTCAGCTAGATAAATATCAAATCATTCTGAACACCCAAGAAATTGATCTGAGGACTCAGAGAACAAACTACACAAATAGAGGGAGAAAAGAGGCCACATCATGGAAATAGGGACAGACTTCAGTGAGCAGCACAATATCCACAGTGGAGGTTTGAGCTGCTTACACCAAGCCTTGCCCATCTGTGCTCTGCAGGTACTTTTATATGAGGGCAAGTATACCTGAGAGCCAGAGCAGCAGTGGGCCCCTCCCGAGAAGACCAGCACAAACCCCCACATGCACCAAGTCTACTGACCATAGAGTGCTGCAAAGCCTTAGCTACAGTGGAAATAAGTTCTGTCCTCTTTTAACAAGAAGACCAAACCATATTAGTTGAAACTCACCACACAGTGGACAAGGTCCAAATACTCCCCACTGAAGGCAAGGAAAAACTCTGCAGTGTACTGACCTGAGGGAAAGAGCATCCAAAACACAACAGCGGAGTGTGCATAGCATACACTAGAAACACTTCATGAAGCACCAGAACCTGGACCTCTTCTTAATAAAGCCATTACTCTCAGGAGTAGGAAACATAACAGGCTTTTCTAACACAAAGAAAACAAATATCTAGACAAAATGCCAACACAGAGGAATTCATTCCAAAAGAAAGAACAAAAAAGGTCATGGCCAGGGATCTGAAACAGGTATAAGAAATATGGTTGACTCAGAATTTAAAACACAATGAAAAGGATACTAGCTGGGCTTGAGAAAAGCATAGAAGACACCAGGAGTCCCTTACTGCAGAAATAAAAGACCTAAAATCTAGTCAAGCCAAAATAAAAAATGCTATAACTGAGATGCAAACATGACTGAATGTAATGACTACAAAGATGGAAGAAGCAGAGGAATGAATAAGTGATATAGGAGATAAAATTATGGAAAATAATTAAGCTAAAAAGAAGAGGGAAAAAAATATTGGATCACAAATGTAGACTTAGCAAACTCAGCAACCCCATAAAGCATAATAGTATTTGCTTCATAGGAGTCACAGAAGAAGAAAGAAGGGAAAAGGGCAAAAGGTTTATTTGAGCAAATTTTAGCTGAAAACTTCCCCAATCTGGGGAAGGAAAAACATATCCAAATCCAGGAGGCACAGAGAACTCCCATCAAAATCAATAAAAGCAGGCCAACACCAAGACATATCATAGTAAAATTTGCAAAATACTGAGATAAGGAAAAAATTCTAAAAACAACAAGGGAGATAATCCCTAACTTACAAGGGAAGGCAAATAAGGTTAGCAGCAGATCTAGCCATAAAACTTGGCAGGCCAGAGGGAGTGGCATGGTATATTCAACATGCTGAATGGGAAAAACATGCAGCTGAGAATACTCTATCCAGCAAGGCTGTCATTCAGAACAGAAGGAGAGATAAAGAGTTTCCCAGACAAACAAAAACTAAAAGAGTTTGTGACCACTAAACCAGCCCTGCAAGAAATATTGAAGAGGACTCTTTGAGTGGGAAAAAAAGACCAAAAGCAACAAAGACTAGAAAGGAACAGAAAAAAATCTCCAGAAAGAATGACTTTACAGATAACACAATGGCAGTAAATTCATATCTATCAATAATCACTCTGAATGTAAATGGACTAAATGCTCCAATCAAAAGACATAGAGTATCAGAATGGATAAGAAAATAAGACCTATCTATATGCTGCATACAGGACACTCATTTTAAACCTAAAGGTACTTCCAGATTGAAAGTGAAGGAATGGAGACCCATTACCAAGCTAATGGACATCCAAAAAAAAAAAAAAAAA